TCTATCTATCTATCTATCTATCTATCTATCTATCTATCTATCTATCTATCTATCTATCTATCTATCTATCTATCTATCTATCTATCTATCTATCTATCTATCTATCTCTCTTTCTCTCCTTCTTTGTCACTTTCTCCTATTTATTTCCTTATTTGTCATTTAAAATTTTTTTTTCACTTTCTTATGTAAATTCATTATATATGTCCATTTCCATTGAGCGAGCGTAATTATGAACGCATGTGTGTGTGTGTGTGTGTGTTTGAATGTGTGTGGAAATTTGTGTGTATGTACATTTATGTGTATTTATATTTGTTTGTGTGTGTGTGTGTACGCTTTACAAACATTTGCGAGTACTATGGTTTTTGTACAAGAAAATTATGTACCTATTTTCCTTGTTGCATACATAAAATTGTACAAACATGCATACATACATACATACATACATACATACATACATACATACATACATACATACATACATACATACATACATACATACATACATACATACATACATACATACATACATACATACATACATACATACATACATACATACATACATACATACATACATTTAAAGTATAGTCTTCAAAATTGCAGTTCTTACGTTCAAATCATTGAATGGTATGTCACCAGAATATATATGAAATGTGAATTCGCCAAAAGACAAGTCCGTCCCAACCACTGGTTTGCAAATTGGTTCAAGAGACATGGCAGATTTGGGGGGCATGAGGAGCTACCCATCGTTCATAAAGGATACAAGAGCGAGACCCAATGTGGTGGTTCAGTCGGTATCAGCAGACACTGTTCTTTTATTCAACTGACTGTACCGTATGAGGCTAATATAGCGGCAAGTCAAAACAGCCAAGTATGAAGAGCTTGTTAGTGAGATGGAACAACGTTGGTTGAGGTGTTTGTTGTACGCAGTTGAAGTCGGAGCCAGAGGTGTTGTTGGTTGTTGAGTGTACAGCTTTTTGAAAGATTTGGGTTTGGCAGGTAAAAGACGATGGAGTTGTATGAAGAACATAGGAGGACATACAGTCAAACAAGCGTCTTAATAGATGTGGTTATGTAGGAAGAAAAAGAAATGCGAGTTTAAATAGTTAACAGACGAGCTCGCCTGCACGTAAGGCTGCCGATTTCTAAACACTCCCAGATTTGGCTTAGCTTGTTACTTGACTCGTTAATATAACACACATCATGATGTGTTTATATGTGAACTGTCTGGCACGCCTGCAAAATTTTTCAGTATGAACGAAGGTAATTTCAAAGTGAGGCAAATTGTTTGTTCAGCAAGATCTCTGAATGTGACCAGTTTCTCCAGACATACATGCAAACATACATACATGCAAACATACATACATGCAAACATACATACATGCAAACATACATACATGCATACGTACTGGTGAGTTTCCGGCTATGTTAGCATGCTACAATTTCTCCTCTTTTGAAAAAGGAAAAATTAGACAATTCTGATCTTAATAATTATGGACCGGTTTCAAATCTGTCGTTCTTTTCAAAATTAATTGAAAGATTAGTTTCTAAGGAGCTTATGAAACACTTAGATAAAAACAATTTGTTACCGGTATATCAGTCAGGCTATAGAAGACATCATTCTACCGAAACTGCTGTGTTGCATGTGTTATCTAAGTTTCATGAAAATATAAACAACAGTAAACCATCTCTTCTTGGATTCTTAGATATGAGTTCTGCATTTGACTGTGTTGACCATTGCATTCTTCTGAAACGTCTTAATCATAGATTTGGAATAACTGGCTCTGTCGAACAATGGTTTCGGTCGTACTTAACAAACAGAACTCAACAGGTAATCTACAAGAATAAGACCTCTTCGGTTCAAACGATAAGATTTGGTGTTCCACAGGGCTCGGTTCTCGGACCGATCTTGTTTATTCTTTACACCTCTGAAATTATTGAGGCGATCGGATTACATGGTTTGGAGTGTCATGCATTTGCAGATGATATTCAGCTATTCGCCACAGAATCCTATAGCAACTTTCATCTTGCAGTTGATCGTTTTGTTAAATGTTTGATCGAGATCGAGAAATGTATGGCAAATAATCGTCTTAAGCTCAATCAAAGTAAGACGCAAATTCTGGTTGGAACTTGGCAACAGCTGTCTAGAATTAAAATTAATTCAGTTATCATTGAGGGTTCAAATATAAACTTCATTCCCAAAGCTACAAACTTGGGTGTCATTTTTGATTCTAGACTGGCAATGACTGAACATATCAAGTTTTTATATGGTACTGCAACCCTACAACTGCGAAAATTAAAAATAATCCGCAAAAGATGTTATTCAAAGTTTAGTGCATTCGTTTATTCATTCTAGACTGGATTACTGCAACAGCCTATTTTATGGTTTGCATGAAAAATCGTTATCTGTGCTTCAGTCAATTCAGAATCGGGCAGCTAAGATCGTTGTTGGTGCGAAAAAGTTTGACCATGTCACCCCGATATTCAGAGAACTGCACTGGTTGATGGTCAAAAAAAGAATTTTGTTCAAAATATCAACAATCATGTTCAAATTTATAAAGGGAATGGCGCCAGTTTATTTGAAAGAAATGCATGCACCGAAACAACTGTCTTTTAAAAATGTCTGCTTAAGGTCTGATGATAGCAACTTGTTATGTGTGCCCCAAACCAACTTGAAAATGGCTGAGAGAAGTTTTTTAGTATGTGGACCAGCCGTTTGGAATAGTCTACCAAGTCATCTAAGACTGTCCGAACTGACAGAAAA